TTTTTAATCAAGCTGCTCGCGTGATTTGATGCATTTCGCGATGTAAAACCCGTTTTATCACAATATAGATCTTGAGTCTCGATCAGATCGTCTTGACCGGGCGCCACCATTTTGTGTGAAGCAAACACAAGTGATACGAGAGGTGAAATCTGATTGGTCAATAGGAGAGGCTTAGACGAGACACAACTGGTAATAGCCACTGGTGGCGCTACGACCGAGCCCAGTTATCCCAGCCTAGCTCGGCAAGGGTGGAAACTGGACTTTTATAGTCAGCTAACTCTCTTGCCTGGGGAAGATGATTTTACCCCGGATCTTCACGGGTCAATTTAGAAATGATGACACATGAGGAAGAGGGTTTATGGATGTCGTCCGACTTTGCTTCGGAAATGAACAATATCTGATTGTTGTCTTGATAAATGTTTTCACAAATTTGTGAATTTCCCGCCACGAATCACAGGATCTTGACAAATTTTAATCAAAATGGTCCTATCAAGGACGGCAGTAAAAATCCTGAATGTGGGACTAAGCACTTAAGTTTGCAGTGTTTCGTCCACTGTCTTTAGCCTTGTTCCTTTTGGTCAAATCCAATTTTCAAATGCATTCTTTTGTCCGACAGTTTACAATGAAAATATAATATCTGAACAAAGTAAGGCTTTAATGATATACATGTACTGCCATATGTGATACCAATGGCATTTGTAGATTCACAAAAGGGATTATCGGTGGAGTGGCGTCCAGTGCATTGATGGAATACACGTTTTTTCGTTGTTGGCGCGTGCTCACACAACTACATTAGCTTGCGAGCAAGAGGTTAAACATTCAGCGTGTTGGTTCTCATCCCACCCAGAAGTTGTGTGTTATGCTCACACAGGGAACCCTCGATAGGGGCTGCAGTATGAAGCACGTGCGCCTTAACACTGTCGAATCCACGTCCTGTCGTGGTAGTGTTTAAGCTGAAGTAGGTGTTGTCATCGTCATAGTGTTGTCCTAATGCATCGGGAGTAATAATGTGTAAGGTGTTTTGGATAAATACTGTAAAAAACATAATTAATTCACCTCTAAAACCAGCGCAAACAAACACTAATACTACCACTACCAACACTAGTACTACCACTCCCGACAGTTTGTTTGTTATTTAACGCCGCAATCAGCAATATTCCAGCTATATGACGGCGGTCTGTAAATAATCGCGTCTAGACCAGACAATCCAGTCTTTGATATCATGAACATCGATCCACGCAGTTTGGATACGATAACATGTATAACCAGAGACAGCAAGCTTGACCTCCCGATCCCGTTAGTCGCCTCCTACGACAAGCATAGTCGCCTTTTACGCCAAGCATGGGTTGCTGAAGACCTTTTCTAAGGCTGCGTTCACACAGTGCCGATTATGGCTCTGAGATCAGACAGCGCTACGACACGAAAAGTGAAAAAGTCGGATTACTATCCTTAAAGATCTCGAATGTCCTATCATTGTCTGAACAAGTCCTACGAGTCGGGAAAGGTCCAGAGAGGTCGGCCAAGCACTGCCGACAGTATGTGCGTCCCGTAACACTCGGGAAACTCTAGTCGGATTACAATCGTGACTATGTCGTGAAAGATTCTGCTGTATCAGATCAAAATCGTAACAATGTCCTGCATGTGTTGTCTTGACGGTGTCCTGTGGATCGGGACGCTGTCGTGATGAACGGGGTTGATTTGGAGAAATTATTCATTGCCATTTTTTTGTCGATTGAGTCCAGATTGCGTCCAGATCTTGTCAAATGCGAACCGTCTTTGTCTGTTCACTGTCCCGTCACTGTTTGATCTCTGTCGGATCGCATTCGGGAGAATCGGGACGCTGTCGGGACAGATTCGGTCGTTTTTACCATACGGAAGACACAAATCTGATTAGATTCGGATTGAGAACGGTAGAATCGGGACGAATTCGGCTGCATGGAAACGGACGAATCGGGACTCTTCCTGAACAATATCTGTTTGTGTCGTGATTAAATAAATGATTTTACAGATTTGTGAATTTCCCGCCACGAATCACAGGATCCTGATCAGGCTTTTGACAAATTTTAATTGCAATTGTCCTATCAAGGACGGCAGTAAAAATTTTGAATGTTTGACTGAGCCCAAACCCGGATCTTCACGGGTCCTCACGACTGTACCAACTTCTACTACTCAAACTGATCCTAAACAATGGAAAGCGTTTGTTTGTTTGTTTGTTTGTTTGTTTGTGTGTGTGTTTGTTTGTGTGTGTGTTTGTTTGTTTGTGTGTGTGTGTGTTTGTTTGTTTGTGTGTTTGTTTGTGTGTTTGTTTGTTTGTGTGTGTGTGTGTTTGTTTGTTTGTTTGTTTGTTTGTGTGTTTGTTATGAATCAAAAAGTGCAGCATTTTAAGACCCCCGCATTGAATGACGTATTACCGTATTTACCTTTCAAAAAGTTCTCCACTTACGGAGGTTTAGAGTAAAAACTACAACACAACCTGTATTACCATTGGAGACCAATGTTTACCTAGATTTGTTTCAAAAGTGGTCGACTCGACACAGTTGAAGACGTCGTGCGTGACGGTAACACCAGTGTAGACGTCGGCTTCTTGCACGTGAACCCTCCAATGTCCTGCAGCGACTTCGTGAACTGGTTTGGTAGTCACGAACTTGAATCGACATATTCTCTTGGAAATTAATTACTGTTTGATGTAACTAGGGCTCTTGCCTCTCTTTGCACAATACGTGGTTTGATTAACAGGTGATTAATTTGTAATGAGACGCGAAGGATTGTCTTGGCTTGAGATGGTTGAAGGTAGGTATGCAATTCTTACATGACGGATGCAGTGAGAGGTGTGAGCGGCTCCCCAGCATATCGTGCATCGTATGTAGGCTAGGCTAGCACTTAGAGCCCAGGGGAATCTAGGAGGGTGGAGAAACGTCACGGGGGTGCGTGGGCCAAAGCGACAGGGTGGAGCTTCATGATTGCCGTACGATGTAAGTTAATGTTTGATTGTTTGTTTGTTTGTTGTTTAAAGCTCCACTCGATAATATTGCAGCTATATGACGGCGGTCTGTATATAATCGAGTCTTGACCAGACAATCCAGTGATTGACGTCATAAGCATCGATCCACGTAGTTGGAATACTATGACATGCATCAACCATGTCAGCGAGCCTGACTACCCGATCCCGTTAGCCGCCTCTTATAAGCATAGTCGCCTTTTAAGGCAAACATGGGTTGCTGAAGACCTAGGCTAATCCGGATCTTCACGGGTGAATGAGAAAATGAGTGGGTAGGTGGGCGAGCGAGTGAGTGAGTGAGTGAGTGAGTATACACGCTTCTTTTGGCAATTCTGGACATAAACTGGCGGGCAAAAGAAAGTTTACACTTGAAAACTGGATTTAACCAAAAACATTCAAAACGTTATCAAAACGTTATCAAAACGTTACTAGGCCTAAACAATCGCCGAAACACTTCAAACTTAATGTCCAAAAACACAACTATGACACCCGTATCAATTACATCACCAATGATTAGCCATTTCTTGTTTATTTCATTTTTAGCCACTTTCAAACATGGCTGTATACTTTCTTTTGCCCGCCAGTATATACCGGCGTTGGACACCATGAGCTTCATCCATTGTTGCAGTGGTAGGGTAGTCTACTGGTTCAAGCGTTCGCTCGTCACCCCAAAGATCGGTTTCGATTCTCACGTAAACGTACTTTCTTGAATATTGCTGAATGCGGTGTTCTGTTGGACCCGTGAAGATCCGGGGTAGAATAGGTCTTCAGTAACGCATGCTTGTCGAAAGAGGCGACTAACGGGATCGGGTGGTCTGGCTCGCTGACTTGGTTGATGCATGTCATTGTATCCCAATTGCGCGGATCGATGCTCATGATTTCAATCACTGGCATGTCTGGTCCAGACTCGATTACTAAAAGACCGCCGTCATACAGCTGGAATATTGCGGCGTTAAATAACAAACAAACCAATCTACGGCAGTTAGGTTTTACGTCTTTTTTGACAATATGCAGTCATTCAGGACAGGGACCCCAGAAATTGCCTCCACACAGTGTTACCATGTTGGAAATCGGTCTTTTGCGTAATGATCGAATGTTTTAACCACTAGACTACCCAACCGCTCCTGGACTATGAGAAGTGAATATTGACAATGGCTGTAAGATGATTGGTCAGCTCGGAGTGTGTGTCTGAGTTGGATATCCATGTTAAACTGCGACGTGGTATCTCAGTGGGCTAGCAATCTAAAGCCTGCATTAGTCCGGATTTGCACACACACACACACACACACTCACACACACACACACACACACACACACACACACACACACACACACACACACACTCACTCACTCACTCACTCACTCACTCACTCACTCGCTCACTCACTCACACACACTCACTCACTCACTCACTCACTCATTCTTGAACGCGACGTTAAACCCCATTTAACCTCACGTTACAATATCCTATAATCAAAGTGGTATAATCATGATTATATTTATAATGTAGACATTCATTACATTTTTAATGCAGACATTCATCCTGGATATATGTAATGAGTTTGTGATCGGAGACGTGGACAGGGAAGTCGTCACGAAGATGAATAAATATTTTTATTAAACGTGAAAGAAGTTATCTCAAACCCAAACTCCCGTATAACAGAACATCTCATCACCTCAAAAGAGGGGTTAATCGACCACTGGAAACTTGTCTTTGCTCGTCAGACTCTGCGGATCTGTGCGTGGTATTGTATAATCCAACATAAACTTTTACAACTTGACTCTTTGTACATAATATGAAAGACGTTGAGAGATTAACTGATCAAGTACGGCACACTGCCTTATGCAAACTCTCCTGGACGAGAAGGACAATACAATAATGAATATGCACTCCGACAAATAATTAATCCGATTGGATAAGGCCTAGTTATTCACTCTTAGTAACCTATGCTTCGTCAGAGTGATCAAAATCTCCTACTGACGTCACGAATGGGACGCATGTTTCTAACTTCTGTGACACTAGGTTTGGTTCAGCGTTGAACACAGCTGACTTACTGCCCGCTAAATGGTCGGGAGCTGACGACCCAACTCGCCATTGTTCAATGGCTTCATATTACGCATGTCACAATTAACGGTCGTGCTATTGACACAATAGCGGGCACACATAATATATGCTTTCAAAGCGCTGGTATAGAGTGTCTCTGAGGTATATACACTTATAACATCCATGGATTGTTTCTTAGGCGTGCTACGCAAAGCCCAACTTGCGTGCGGAGATTGCTCCGTCTGATTGAGCCGGGACCGTTGAGCTAAACACGGCGTTTCTCAGGGCGAGGAATTAGTGTACGAGAAACAGGCAGTCGTGTCCAGGTTGCCGACCAAGGAGTAATTTGGAGGTGATCTTGACCGATAGTCAACGTTTCTTGGATTTATATTGAAATAGATTCAGTGATTGGACTTGAAGCGGGAATCACTGAATCAAGGCAGACGACATTCGTTAAATGACTGAGAAAATTCAAGGACACTCGTTTGACAAACACGCACAAGTGAGCGACATAGGTTGGTGAAGCTATTTACTGTTAGTCCATGTTTGACATAGTTCGAGCGTCGCAATATGAAAATGAGGACTAAAATATCAGTGATATAGAAATTTAATCCAGGATCATACAGCGCCCTTGGTAACCAGACAATACTTCAAAATACGAATCTTTGAATTCGATAAAAAACGGATTCAAAGAATTTGACCAGGAAGAGGGAATATTCCTGAAATAGACATTCCAGGTCTTTGGACAGATTTATACAGAAAAGGGGTGAAATCACTCAAGAGACATTCCGGGTGTTAGGCGGGTATAATGTCCTACCAAGGCCATATCAGCGTGTCGTCTTCTCGGTCAACCAATCAGACGTGTTGAGGATACACCACAGACTTACTTATCCATCGTCGACGAAGGTTCCAGTGTAGTCATCGTCATGCCGTCGATGTATGAGAGAGTAGTTGCCGTTGTGGACCGACCACCGGACCTACGGACAGACTTTGAATGCCACGAGTTTGTGCCTTGGTTTAGGAACAAGGCCACGCTATTCAAGTCCGTCAAACCAGGTAATGTGACTTATTCATAACTATATAAATACATGACACTTGGAATTAAATACTTAAATATATACTTGGAAAAAAGTTCAGCATCGCTCCTTGTTTTATATATTCCTAACTTCCGTCTATCTTTTGGAAATATCTACATACATTGAACCTTTTTAGATAAATGCCTAAAATACCATCGATGCGTTGAAAAGTTGGTAGAAGAATACTGGATGTTTCTCCCGATGGTTTTAAGTACTTGGTCATAGAATATGATGCAAAGACACGAGGAAGCCATTTAAAGGATATTCAAATAACCACGGAATATTTTCCGAATAAGACATGACGTCATCGATTGCGGTGTAGGTGTTTCAATACGAGATTGTCACTTAGTAAACAAAAATGTGTTTTACAGATAGTAAATACAGGAAAAGATTAATTTAAGTACCATTAGTTATGAATATATATTGTAAGACGTGTTTTGTTAATTTCGAATTCTGTTTAATGTAATTCTTAAACCAGAATTTTAGCGTCTACAAAACAGCGTTCTCCTACAGGCAGATACCTAAAGAGCAGCGCTGTTTTTCAATATTTCAGATGGATTTTAAACATGTGTATTATTAAAGAAAATTATTTTATTCTTGATCCTATTTGGAAGGCTGCTCATTTAGACTCGTGTATTGTATACTCGCCGCGAAAGGAAACGCACACCATAGAAACATATAGAGAAGTATGTACGTTAAGAGGAGCTGTTTCCAATGTGTACCAGTTAATGACAAAACTAACAATCAGTCAAGTGGTACCACAGAGTGTCTTTATTCCATACTTTACAAGCTAATCTTGCGCGAGAATAATGGTGCATCTCGAGTCATGGATCTATGACGTCACATGTGATGCGTTTTAGAGGGTCGGTTCACGCAACATGTGCATCGAACTCGGGTTGGGACGGGTCCAAATTTACTACCCGGGTACCCTACACCTTATTACCCGACCCTACCCGGGTACCCGCTGTAGATATTTAGAGATAGGTACAAACGGTCCAATTTGGAAACGTTTGACCGTAGCCCTGGCAAAATGTATTTAGATATTTAGACACGTGTAAGACGATACGCTCATGCATACACTGAAGTTTAATGCATGAAGTATTATCTTTATTCAAACATATAAAAGTCAGAAGGAATGGGTGTATTGTCAGAAAGAAATAGGATATAAGTGACTTATAGTGTAACCATAGAGTTTTAGATATTTTTTGTCATCAAACAGTATATATCACGTGACTAACCACGGATCCGGGTAGTCCTGTGGGTACCCGGGTCCTACTCAGGACCCACCCGACCCGGGTACCCCAGTTACCCGTCCCAGCCCTACATCGAACCAATCTTATATCTCTTGAATATGATTAATTCTTCATAATTAACCAACATGTATGGTATTCGCGATTCTTTTGGCGGTGAGTATATACTAGTATTGACTTGAAACATTGGCTTCGTTGGGGATAATCACCTAATCTCAATAAAATCAGATCTTAGTTCTCGCTACCGCTAAACAAAGATCTGAGGACATCCCACTACGAGTCACGTCAGACCGACCTTGCGCGAACTTTGACCGACCAATGGAATGACCAATCAGAAGGCAGCTTTCTCGTGTTTTACGGCACTAATTTCAAATTGGCAACTACGCTTCGAAACATATTTTGACAAATTCTCGATTACAAATTTGAAACCTGAACAAAAGAACATCCTGGGATGGCGAATAGATGGTCTAGATTGTATGGATTCAGTCGTTAAACCCGTAACTATCGTTCGGAGTTAAAGTTTTCGAGGTTGCATGATTAGAAATCACATTCCGACTGTCACTTTCACAATCTGGTAAGCGACGCTCTGATTGGTCGGATGAAAGGTCGTTCTGACGTGCCCCCTAATGGGATGTCCTCAGATCTTTGTTTAGCGGTAGCGAGAACTGAGGTCTGATTTTAATGAGATTGATAATCACCTGGCTAAAGTACCAATCATATTCCTGTGACAAATGATAAGGAGGTACAACCTTTAAACACTATAATGTTCATTGTTTACAGTCTCTATGTTTACTAAGCACTCAATATATTAATAATTTGATTTCTCAATGGAGATTGCGGTTAAGAATAGGTCCCCAACAACCTATGCTATCCGTAAGAGGCGACTAAATGGGTCGGGTGGTCAGGTTCGGTGCCTTGGCCTATTACTGTCATCGTATCCTGACGGATTGTTGCTCACAATATCGATCACTGGATGGTCTGGTCCAGATTCGATTAATTACAGGACGCCGTCATATAACTGGGATATTGCTGACTGCGGCGTTAAGCAACACACAGACATTCAAGCACTTTGCTTGTACATTTACGCTTTGATTTCATCGGCATTAGTGTATGTTCAGTGGGGTTACTGGGCCGGCCTTACGTTTTACATGTATTTTATCATTTCGTGGATGTATTTGGTCGTTATGGGCAATGTGCGTGCATATAAAGTACGTGATAAAAAATAAGAAGATGACCTGTTATTCCTGGGTTCGATTCCAACATTTGCCCGGATTATGAACCCTGGTCGGAGAGTTACACCAAGGCGGTAACGTGTGCGCAAAACGCCACGTCAGACTTTCCTCCCTTATTTAGCTGATATGGCGCGAACACGTGGTGTCATCACTGATTTTCAGTGATCCATTCATATAATTTTCACCGCTATTTTGCCTTTTACGCCCAATGGAATCTGTTTCGTCGGATAATCGAGACTTATTATTCTCTGGTTATTGATGTTTTATATGCAAGTGCAAAACTGTGCGTTAAAGGGCCATGCGGGGAAAATATTGTTTCCAACATCAAACAACGAAGTATCAGGAGAAACGTTAGACACCGCCCCTTTAGTTTCATATATCCCGATCTGCTATGTAACATTTGGGGATATCTACATATGATTTCATTTCATGAATACCAATGACACCAACGATAAATCCGTGGACAGTTGGTACAAGAACAGTGTATTTCTCGAGGGCAGTTGGTACAAGAACAGTGTATATTCCTCGTGGGCAGTTGGTACAAGAACAGTGTGTATTTCTCGAGGGCAGTTGGTACAAGAACAGTGTATATTCCTCGTGGGCAGTTGGTACAAGAACAGTGTATATTTCTCGTGGGCAGTTGGTACAAGAACAGTGCATGTTCCTCGTTGACAGTTGGTACAAGAACAGTGCATGTTCCTCGTGGACAGTTGGTACAAGAACAGTGTATGTTCCTAGTTGGCAGTTGGTACAAGAACAGTGTATATTCCTCGTGGGCAGTTGGTACAAGAACAGTGCATGTTCCTCGTTGGCAGTTGGTACAAGAACAGTGCATGTTCCTCGTGGGCAGTTGGTACAAGAACAGTGTATGTTCCTAGTTGGCAGTTGGTACAAGAACAGTGTATATTCCTCGTGGGCAGTTGGTACAAGAACAGTGCATGTTCCTCGTTGGCAGTTGGTACAAGAACAGTGCATGTTCCTCGTGGGCAGTTGGTACAAGAACAGTGTATGTTCCTAGTTGGCAGTTGGTACAAGAACAGTGTATATTCCTCGTGGGCAGTTGGTACAAGAACAGTGTATGTTCCTAGTTGGCAGTTGGTACAAGAACAGTGTATATTCCTCGTGAATAACCAGTCTTAATTATTCACCGAAAAAGATTTTATTGGGTGTTAAATGTAAAATAGCGATGAGTTATACGTCGGAAATATTGCAAATGAAAGTTAAATGTGGTCATATTTCAAAGCGTCCTGGGTCGCTTCTGATTTCGACATCCAAATGGGAAATTCGAAAACAGTTCTTAAATTAATTTGGCCAATAACGATTTGTTTTACTTCAAAAGCTAAACTACCGATGCTATGAATAAACGAACAGAAGAAATTGACGTCTTGTATTTTTAGCCAAATTAATGTTTCATTCTCCCAGTATTTATATCCGGCAGCTGTTTGACAAATTGCCGATACAAAACATCAGTGAACTCGTGGACGTGTAATTACAGCGCTGCCACTTGAAGTCAACAATCGTGCCTGCTTTTATTCTGAATTGAATGTGTTCAGTATTCGTACAATTACCCCACGATTGATTGATGTTTGACAGACATATTCCCGGCACCGACTCTGGTTATACAGTTTCACGGTCCATGCTTTAACACTGAACATGACGTTCGGGCTGTTGACTAAAGCTTAATACAATCGGCTTACAGCACAGTGGTATTACCCCTGATTCTCGCTACAATAGTCAGTGCACGCCTTAGGTCAGCGGGGTGGTAGCCCGTATTAGAACGTACTTCAGGTGTGTCGCATGGTGATCGACGTTGCCCCCCATCTCTGTGTGTGTCTCTCTGCTTCTCTCTTTCTCTGCCCTCTCCTCGTCTGTCAGTCTTCCTTCCCTGTTTGTCCTCATCTTTCTATCTCACCTTCTCTATTGCCCTCTCCGTCTGCCAGTCTCTCTGCTTCTCTCTCTCTCTCTCTCCCTCTCTCTCTCTCTCTCTCTTATGTCGCTTTCCCTGTCTGTCTATCCGTCTGTCTCTCCTATGTCGCCCCCTCTCGGTCTCTCCTCCTAGGGGCGGTCGGGTAGCCTAGTGGTTACAGCGTTCACTCGTCACGCCGAAGACCCGGGTTCGGGTGTCCCCGCCGTGATATTGCTGCCGTCTTGCTTGATGTCTGTCCTCCTCTTTCCTACATACTCACATGATAGAATAAACTCACATCGTATCAGCCACAATATCTGTTATTATCCTGTTGCTTGAGAGGGAAATAGTTCAAAAGGTAGATTCTACCTCTCACCATCAAGGAATTTTCAACAAAGCAGCTTTCAGTCAAGACTAAAACATTCTTGTCAGGCCCATCATCTCAGGGAAGACAGTGCTGCCCAGTCGAACCCACCCAGAACTTTTCAGCGAATGTGAAGACTCCCCAACACTGCAGCCTTCTGCATTACCCAGATTGTCACAAGGGCTGTATTACTGGCAGCAAACCCAGGTACTCTCCCAATGTCAGTCG